ATTACACTAAATAATTTAAAATAAAGTTAATTTAGACAAAAGCCTGGTCAACTCTGGCTATATAATTCGGCCAGAATAATCATTTACTTTTATTTAAAGCAAAAACAAACGCGGTCAAATAAAGTTTATATCAGATATTTTTGTACACTACAGACAATAGCAGATCATCAGTTTAATCTTGATTTCTTTGGCTCGAAATGACACATTCATTCCTTCATTTCATAATGTTCTTAGCATCCACATAATTGTCCGAATAATCATTAACATCTTTCTGTCTTCTTCATTGTAACGTTCGTTAGGAGGACATTTGACTTTTGTATCATCTGTTTAAAGCACCAGAACAGAAAATGAAACAACTACATTATTATCAAGATTTTTATTGCCCCAAATAATCTTTCTCTTACTAAAAGTAGGTGTTTCATAAGGTTCAGCATATAAATATGTATTTGATTACCAAATTTTCTTGAAGCAGGATTAATCTGGACAATATTAGATAAGTTGCAACCCACTATAAACCAAAGAACATGTATGTCAAATCAGTGTTGTTATGCTTGTCCTCATACACGAAGGAGCTCATAACTGTAAACCAGGAGGAAAATATTTTGTATGGTTCTGTAGTGCGGGTTACTCACATCCACATAAGTAGTATATGACGATGGTCAGGCAGAGAATGTATTTTGGTAGACGATCGATGACGAAAGAACGGAAACGAAACGCAATTGTTATGTAAATGAGTGAACAATAATAATTGGAGACTATGGACTGATATTTGCAGAAGAAACATTCAAGATTGAGACAATTGATTGATACTTTGCAAATTAACTGTTTACTGTATGGTTGTCGAATTTTAGTGAGATATTCTGTAAGTTTGTGCTCAAATACATTCGATTGTCCTCATCCATGTTCTTGTTCACTGCAGTTCCAAACTAAGGTTTGGTTGCAGTGAAAAATGATTTTGAACGATATGTATTTTAAAGAATCATTTGATCAGAGATTGGAAGAATATCGCTGAAATATAACTCTTCGAGATATTATAATAGAAATGGAATTGAGATTTTAAAACAGTATTTTTATATTTTAATTGAACAAATAGATTCTTAACTTCTTGTGCAATTTTTGAGAACAAGGATAACAATTTGAGCAGAATACAAAGAATTCATTTTATTTCCATAAGTTCGCATCATCTGTTGACAACCTGTGGTTTTTCTAATTAAGTTTGGCATGAAAAGTATTGTGATATATTTACAATATCCCAATGAATAGAAAACTGAGGTTTCGTGGCTTAGTGTAAGTTACTTTACAGAGAAAATAAAAAATGAAGGACAGCACATTTTACATAAATGTTTACCAAAATTTGAACGAATAGTTAGCAGAATTTTAAATAACACGAAGACGCAAAGCAGCATACTTGGTACAATCAAAACAAGTCTCATCAAGTCAACGTAATGTCATTCAGGTCAAGATGATTCTGTGTTAGACATACTTGTATTTGTATGTATGGTAGTCGGGGTCAGAAAATGTAGTGTTTGTGACTTGAAAAGATAAAATTAGTGTGCTATTGATGTTCAAAGGTAAAAAAACTAAATATGGTTCGAATAAAGCAAGAACGGTTAACATAGCAGAATAAATATGGATTCATTTTATTTTATGGTTTCTCTTCAGCTTCTTACAGCATAAATATGACAGTACTTTTAGTTTAAAAATGGTGAACATACTTGTTGTCCTCATGTAGGAAAAGTTCTCATCAATGAAGATTAGGACAAAAAGCAATACATATGGGAAAATTATATGAGATGTTTATATTCAAAATAGTGTGAATATTTATAGGTTGAATATACAAATATTTTAGGATCAAAAATAAGAGCACACAAATAGATGCATAAAGCGATGACGTTTGAAGTGAACGGTAAGGGGTTCAAGTCCCATAATGAAAACCAACTCTGGGATTCAGTTATGTCCAACTGACGATTTCCAAATAGGATGGATCATGAGTCGTGGATTCCACTGCTAGCCACCATTATTTCTGCTCATAATGTTTGTAACTTGAGCCAATATCGGGGCAATCCGTACAGGATGCACATATGCCAACAAGAGACTGGTCAATTGTGGTTCTAAACACGAATGAGAAAATTCCAACAACCAATATAAAAATGAATTAATATTAACATCATCGTTAAAGAATACTTAAAAAGAAAATAAAATTAGTTAGCTAAGTACAAATTAGATAAGTAAGAATTATAGTCAATAACATAAATACGTAACAAACATTTGTAAAGCAGGTCACAATATCAAAATGAGTTTGGTAACAAAGACTTTTTCATTGCCTATATTTATCCTAACTTTTTGCGGCAACCGCCTCATTAAAACTTTCTAAACTTGACGATTTTGTTTGTGATTTATTTCGGAATACTTTGTACAGTCAACACGTCTGCTATCAAACAAATAGCGTAGGATCATGTTGCTAAAAATACCCTGTCATTTTAGTCGAATATTTAGTGGAATGCAGTCTGAGATATGGACATTAATTCTTCTTTTTTGTCTTCCAATGTATGTGCTATACTAGATATATGTAAACTGGTAGATACCACTACAGGTCGATTAGGGCAGAAGTTTGTCCACTTTTTAAGTCATCCAATTATCTACTGCATTTATTACCTCAAAGTTACTTTCATTAATACATCCAAAATTTCTGAACTTTTTATCATTCGGTAGCATAAAAACAAGCATTAATTTTATTAATTTTTTACTCTAGTTCCTTTTTGTTTTCTTAAAGCACACTTCTGACACTTAAATGAAGTGTTTGATTTAGCCCTTCTTTTTAATAAGAACTAAACCCTAATTTTAATGTTTTGATGAAGTAAAATGGAATGCAATTGATTCATTATATTCACTAACTTTTATAAACCTTCTGTTGTTTATTTCAGTGACCTGTAGCCTGAATTATAGCAGACATGAAGTTTACCATGTTGTAGACTTCCTAGTGATAATAATTCAATTATCGATCCTTGGAAAATCACTGGTCAGTGAATATCCATTTATTTATAGTCGAAGATTATTATTTTCTAAGCCCTTAAATATAAGACAATAAAGCTCTGTAATTTTTAATCTTGGAGTAAGCACATAACCACCCTGATTATGTTGTCATCTAGTTGTTCCCTTTTCCATCTGCATAAACTTTTAGATGTTACACTGCTAATATTCAGTATCGACAGTGTACATCATTTTTTAAATCTTTGGTTGTTTTGTTTGATTTAGAAATTCCATAATAACAGGCCTAAATTTAAATCTGAAGCATGTGTATTTAGCACAATAAGGACGTACACTTAGATGGCGGAAAAGATTTGTAGCTTAGGCGGGTGATTTTGTGGAGTTTCATCCTTTGTGTTGGTGTCATAGAGGGGCATTCATTGTTCTTCGGAACAATATCATATATCAGGTAGAAATAAAGTATTTGAATTTCTTCAAATATAACTGATAATTTATCCTGTCAAACTTGATTTTGATTGGTCATCATTGACCTTGAAGTTGTCATTATCTGCATCTTTATTTTTATTTTATCTCCCTTCATCCTGATTCTTTGTCCGTGATTTTTCTAATCGGTTGATAAATTGGATCGATGTCAATGTGCTTGTTGACTTCCGAGCTTCCGAAAACTCCCAGGTGCTTTTAGCATTCCTTTTATCAAAGATTTCAACATTTTTCAGTCGAGTGCATGTGCAAAGTTGTTCATATGTATTGACATAAGCGAAGATGTGTCATAGTGTTTGACCGCTAATTGATGTTCATCTAGGTGAGAATGAAGAGGGACGTCAACTTTTCCAATTTCATGCTCTTCGCAATCGGAACAGTTTATTTTGTAGATTATATTTAGTCTTCTTTTCTCATTACGCTCTTTAGTTTGCATAGAATTGATTGAAAAGAAATTTCTGGTTTGTGTACTACATCTCTTTCATTGTTAGTGTTCTGTTATCTCAGAATTTACGCATGTTCGATAGTTATATTATTGCTTAATAGCTTTTATTCATTTGAATAGAAATAAGTCATATCACTTTTTACTCTTCTTGTTTGACAACCTATATTAGTTGATTATGGGGCAGGCCAAAGAACATATTTAAAAAAATGAACAGCACTTGGAAACAACTAGAAAAGTTAACCCAGGATACGGTAGTTTAGAAAATCATGGTCTGTGGCCTATGATCTACGTGGAATAACAGGCGTAAGCAAGTAACTTTCACAAAACTTCACGATTGTCAGAAACATTCAAAGGACCAATACAGGTCACTTTGAGATTTGAATACTGTGAAATGTGAAGGAAGTGTAGCACTACATATAAATAAAATACTTCGTATTTTAGCTACCTATATGTATAGTAAACAAAAGTGTTAATGAAACGATATAAAAGGATTTATCTACTTGATCGAGAACATTTATTTGATGACCTATTCAAGCTTTTATATGCCTTGCGTTTCCGTATATTCCCGACCATAACAACAGTTACTTGAATGACTGTACATAAAACAAATCTATTCTCCTTGGTCATATAAGTCACGTATAACTATTACAACAGTTTTAATTCATTTTTGTATTGGTTGTTTGAATCTTCCCATTGATGTTTAGAACTACAGTTAATCAGTCTCTTATTGACATATATGCATCCTGTACAGATTATCTCAATATAACCTGAAGCCACAAGTATTATAAGCAAAGCTCAATAGTATCTAACGGTGAAAACCAGGACGCACATTTCATCCTATTTTGGACTCGTTAACTAAATATAGCTACATCTCAGAGTTGATGTTTACCATTTACTTCAAACGTCATCACGTTATCCAACTAGCTTTTTTTAGATGTAATGCATTAAAATCATCCAATAGCTTTATAACCTTATTTTTTATCATGAATATCATTGGTCAAACACATTGTCTAATCAAAAACAGTTTGATAAAATTTACTCGAATTTTTATAAATGAAATTACTTATTAAAAAAAATCAAAAATAATTTTTAATAAAATTTTCATTTTTCATAGTACCTTACATGAATAAATTAAAACAAAAAAACTGAAATGAATTTACCTAAAATTTTTATCAAAATTACATAATCTAATTTACAATTAAACAAGTAAACAAAATTTACATTTAATCAATAATTAAAATTAAAAAAAAAACATTTAATCAATAATGAATAGTACTCTTATTCCAGATTATTATTATTTCCCTCAGCAACAACAACAACTCCAACCCCAACCCCAACAACAACAACAACAATTTACTATCTCTATTACATTATATGATCATTTATGTAAATATTTTCTTGTATGGTATTTACCAACAGTAATAACACTTGGATTTTTTGGATCAATATTTTGTTTTATATTTTTAATACATTCAAAAATGTTTACATCTAATTTATTAATATGGTTAATAAGTATTTGTGTTAGTGATTTTTTTATATTATTAACAGAAGGTATATGGATGTTATTAAAAATATGGTATAAAATTGATATTAGAGATTATAATAATTGGTTATGTATAATTCATACAAGTTCATCAAATTATTTATTTTATTGGTCAGCATATATGCAATGTATATTATCAATACAACGTTGTTATCTTGTATTGTATCCATTACAAGTTAAATCAAAATGGATATCTTTATCAAAACTTATCATTTATCAAATAATAATATCTATTTTATTGATTATACCAATACTTCCATATCCATTATATTGGCAAGTGATTAATAATGATTGTGATCCAGTCAATGAAAAGATATTTCGATTGACAACTTTATGTGATTTAATATTTTGGGGATTAATACCAGTATTTGTCATGACTACATGTACAGGAATTATTTGTCGTAATTTAATAACAAGAAATAAGTTTGCAAAGAAAACTATTCAATCCATTGTGAAAATTAACCAACATAGTAGCTATTATAATTCATTACATCCTACAAAAAATATGAATGATTTATGTAAAAGTAATTATCTAGAAGACTCTGAAATACATATACATAGTGAGAAGAAATCATGTCGTTCAGAAAGTTTAATATCAAATCAAGAAAATATACCTACGACAAATAGTCATACAGTTCATTCTATGAATGACTTTCGAACAACAACAACAGAGCTAAATAAACGTAAATATATCTCACAAGATAGTCATACACATATAACACCATTATTACTATGCATGAATTTTGTTTATATGGCTAGTGTTTGTCCGTTACTTATTTATTTTTTATATTTAAATTTCATTGTAGATAGTATTGATAATAATATGCATAAATTTCTATACTACTTATTTCGTAGTTTTTGCCTATTGAGTACATGTACTAATTGGATATTTTATTGTGTTGCTGGTAAAAAATTTCGTGATCGTACAAAACAATTATTATTATCATTATGTAATTCTAATAAAATTTCATTAGTTATCAATGAAAATGGTTTCTTAATTATTAAATATACTGATAAGCATAGATATTCAGTTTCGAACATAGCAAGAACCAAAGGATTATCATCACCTAGTAATTAAACAATTCAAATGTAATCAGTTAATTATATTTCAAATCTAAACAAATGTTCATGTTACTTAATACCTATAAAGCCTTGGATACTAATAATGAATGATGTCAAAGATTTTTTTTCCTTACAACAAACAATTGAAATAAGCTTTTTGTGATTCATTTTATAAAAAAAAATAATTGTATCTCTTTTTGTTCATTTATTTAGTTGTTATGATATCTGTTGCCGTGGCTTCCTCTTTTTAAATGATATCATTATTGAAAACCTTTGTCAATTATTTCATGTTTACATTTATATTATTTCAGTAACAGAATAACTTATTCTTTTATAAAATTACATTTCATATTGTTGTCATCAGTTTAGTTAAAATATAAATTCATCAAAATAGTCATATCAAACATTATTGTTGAAGAGGATAGATACAAACAAGTTAAACGAAGAAGTTGTAGATATCTTCTTTTCTAATCTATTTTGTAAGTATCCAAATGAGTAATTTGAAAATTCTTGCTCTAAACAACAAATTGTAAATATTTCTATAATAAAATATTCAATAAAAAAAAATAAAAGTAAACTTACGAACAGGTAGAGTGGTTCATGGGTATTGCTCTTGGTTTAGCATTATATTAACAATAGTAATATATCGGTAAGTTTGTAACATCATTGTTTTAACAGTAATATTGATTACCGTTTTGAGTTATTATTATTTCATTCTATACATCATTGAAAGCATTTCGCCCTGATTATTATAGATCGATAACTCGATTACTTAAACACTTATCCTTTTAAAACAATTAGTCCCTTTGACAAATTTACTTACTTTCTTACTTACGCCTGTTACATCTCTAGGAGGAGCACCACTCACCAGTTTTCTCCATTCAACTCTGTCCTGGCCAATCCTTTCCAGTTCTTTCCAGTTATTATTCATCTTTTTTATAGCTGCTTCTATTTCCCAAAATAATGTGTTCTTTAGCCTTCCTCTTTTTCGCTTCCCTTCAGGATTCCAAGTTAGGGATTGCCTTGTAATGCACATTGGTGAATTCCTTAATTTATGTCCGATCCACTTCCAACGTCTTTTCCTAATTTCCTCTTCAGCTGGAAGCTGGTTTGTCCTCTCCCATAAAACGCTGTTGCTGATAGTATCCAGTCAATGGATGTTGAGTATTTTGCGTAGACAACTGTTTATAAATACTTGTATCTTCCTGATGATGGCCGTAGTAGTTCTCCACGTCTCAGCTCCATACAGTAGGACTGTCTTGACGTTCGTATTGAAGATTCTCACTTTGATATTGGTTTACAATTGTTTTGAGTTCCATATGTTCTTCAATTGTAGAAATGTTGCCCTTGATAAATTTCGATAGTGTAATAAGAAGACAAAGATTATCAGAACTATGTGATATATTAGCGCAATACATTTCGAACAATCTGATTACATAGTTCTGATAATCTTCGTCTTCTTATTACACTATCGAAATTTATCATTTCAACTGTTAATTAGGAAAAGTGATCTATAATTGATGCTTTCAAATGGTTTTATCTACTTCCTTCACTGTTGACTTTACATTATGTATATAAAATGGATATTGATTACTTACTTACTTACTTACGCCTGTTACCCCTCGTCGAGGAGCATAGGCCGCTCACCAGCATTCTCCATCCAACTCTGTCCTGAGCCTTCCTTTCCAGTTCTTTCCAGTTGCTATACATCCTTTTCATATCGGCTTCTATTTCCCGGCGTAGTGTGTTCTTTGGCCTTCCTCTTTTCCGCTTCCCTTCCGGATTCCAAGTTAGGGATTGAGTCGTGATGCACATTGGTGATTTCCTTAATGTATGTCCGATCCACTTCCAACGTCTTTTCCTTATTTCCTGGAAGCTGGAAGCTGGAAGCTGGTTGGTCCTCTCCCATAGAACGCTGTTGCTGATAGTATCCGACCAATGAATGTTGAGTATTTTGCGTAGACAACTGTTTATAAATACTTGTACCTTCCTGATGATGGCCGTAGTAGTTCTCCACGTTTCAGCTCCATACAGTAGGACTGTCTTGACGTTCGTATTAAAGATTCTGACCTTGAAATTGGTTGAGAGTTGTTTTGAGTTCCATATGTTCTTCAATTGTAGAAATGCTGCCCTTGCTTTGCCAATCCTTGCCTTTACATCTGCATCCGATCCTCCTTGTTTATCAACGATGCTCCCCAGGTATTTGAATGTTTCCACCTCTTCCAGAGTTTCGCCATCAAGTGTGATTGGGTCGGTGTTCTCCGTGTTGCATTTGAGAATCTTGCTTTTTCCTTTGTGAATGTGGAGGCCTATCGATGCGGAGGCTGCTGCTACATTTTCTGTCTTCATCTGTATTTGTTTATGTGTATGAGAGAGGAGGGCTAGGTCATCTGCGAAGTCCAAATCATCTAATTGATTCTGAGAAGTCCATTGTATTCCGTATTTCCCTTCAGATGTCGAATTATTCATAATCCAGTCAATCACTAGAAGGAAGAGGAATGGGGAGAGTAGACAGCCTTGTCTGACTCCGGTCCTTACTGGAAATGCATCTGTCAGCTGTCCTCCATGCACCACTTTGCACTGTAATTCATCGTATGAGTTTTGGATAATGTTGACGATCTTCTGAGGAACTCCATAGTGTCGAAGAAGTTTCCATAATGTTCTCCTGTCCACGCTGTCAAACGCCTTCTCGTAGTCAATAAAGTTGACGTATAGTGATGAGTTCCACTCAACTGATTGTTCAACGATGATCCGTAGTGTCGCAATCTGGTCTGTGCACGACCGATCCTTACGGAATCCAGCCTGATGATCCCTTAGTTCGGCGTCTACTGCGTCTTTCATCCGATTCAGCAGCACTCTGTTGAAAACTTTTCCTGGTACTGATAACAAACTGATGCCTCTGTAGTTCTCACATTGGCTCAGATCTCCTTTCTTTGGTATCTTGATGAGATATCTTTCTTTCCAGTCCGTTGGCACTTGTTCCTCTTCCCAAATCTTTTTGAATAGAAGGTGAAGCATGTTTGCAGTTATTTCAATGTCTGACTTCAGTGCTTCTGCTGGTATATTGTCAGGTCCTGCCGCCTTCCCACTTTTGATTTGTCTGATGGCCATCTTGATTTCTTCGATCGTTGGTGGAGTGACATCTATTGGAAGGTCAGTGTGGGCTGCTTCGATGTTCGGTGGATTCGATGGGGCTGGTCTATTCAGCAGTTCCTCAAAGTATTCTGCCCATCTTTTCCTCTGTTCCTGAATCTCAGTGATTGTCTTTCCTTCTTTGTCTTTGACTGGTCTCTCTGGTTTGCTATATCTCCCTGCCAATTTCTTCGTTGTATCATATAGTTGTTTCATATTCCCTTCTCTTGCAGCTTTTTCCGCCGTCGTTGCTAGTTCTCCCATGTATTTCTGCTTGTCGGCTTTAATGCTTTTCTTCACTTCTCTGTTTGCTTCTGCGTAGTCTGCTTGTGCTTTGACTTTCTCTGCTCGTGTTCGGCTGTTGTTAATTGCTAGTTTCTTGTTCTTCCTTTCTTGAAGTTTGTCCAGGGTCCCCATAGAGATCCATTCCTTGTGATGGTGCTTCTTAGGACCAAGAACCTCCTGACACGTTGAAGTTAGTGCTTCTTTTATCCCTTTCCAGTTGTCCTCCAAAGTAGTTTCTTGTTCTTTCAGTAGATCCTGTAGAGCTTGGAACCTGTTGTTGAGAGTTATCTTGAATTCATGGAGTTTGTCAGTATCTCAAAGGAAGGCTGTATTAAACCTTTGTAGTGCTGTATTTCCAGTTGTCCAGTCTTTCTTTAGCTTCAGTGTCATCTTGGCCACAACCAGGTGGTGATCTGAAGCTATGTCAGCTTCTCTCCGGGTTCTCACATCTTCCATTGATCTTCGGAATTTTTTGTTGATACAGATGTGATCAATCTGGTTCTCTGTGGTGTGGTCCGGTGAGATCCATGTAGCTGTGTATGCGTTTGTGTGGGAATATTGTGCCGCCTATAACCAATTTGTTGAAAGCACATAGGTTTGCAAGTCTCTCCCCATTTTCATTTCTCTCTCCTAGTCCATGTCGTCCAATTACATCTTCATATCCTGTGTTGTCCACTCCAACTTTAGCATTTAGATCTCCCATAAGGATGGTGAGGTCCTTTCGTGAGCACTTCTCCATAATTGATTGCAGCCTTTCATAGAACTGATCTTTATCATCGTCGTTGCTATCATTGGTGGGTGCATAACATTGGATAACATTCATTGTGATCCCTTGCTTCTTTGTTCTGAATGATGCTTTGATTATCCTGGGTCCATGAGATTCCCATCCCACAAGTGCATTTCGTGCTTCTCTGGACAGCATTAGAGCAACTCCCTGAGTGTGTGGCGCATTTTCCCCTTCGTGACCGGAGTACAGCAGCATCTCTCCTGTACCTAGCCTTTGTTGTCCAGTTTGTGTCCAATGGGTTTCGCTGATTCCGAGTACTGCCAAGTTGTATCTCCTCATTTCCATTGCTATTTGGCTGGTCTTTCCTGTTTCCCACATTGTCCGGACGTTCCATGTACTTATAAAGAGTGTTGCTCTAGTTGTTAGAAGGTGCATCGGTCTCGTGACTTCCGAAGAATTTCGGCTTTCATCATGAGACGTCATTATTCCTTCAACTCCCAGGGCAGAGTTTAAATGGTTTGGATTATTTTTTCTGGTTAGCGTTTTTTTAGCGAGTTAGCTTTTCTACGGGATGGGGTCGCTAACCCCATGCCCAACCCTCCTCCTTTACCCGGGCTTGGGACCGGCAGTAACTCTAGAAGAGCTACAGGCGGAGTTACTGAATTAAAATATTCTTTATTATTATTGTGGATACTTCAAGTTATTTGTGGCTGAAACTGAGGTATGAAACATAATAATGGATAATAAGCAAAGATGGATAGTGGCTAGCAGTGGAATCCAGGACACGCGTTTCGTCCTATTTGTGACTCGTCAGCTGGATGTACCTGCATCTCAAAGTTCATGTTCACTCTGGGACTCGAGTCCCAAATTGGACGGAACGCGCGTCCTGGATTCCACTGCTAGCCACTATCCATCTTTGCTTATAATGCATATGAATTAAGGCTAAATCTAGGCAATACGCACAGTATGCACATATGGCCAATAAGAGACGGACCAGTTGTAGTCCTAAACATCAATGGGAAGATTTAAACAAACAATACTAAGTGAATAATAATGAATTCTGTAAATCTCACTGTTTTTTTTGTTCAATACAGAAATGTAATTTGCTAAAATCACAACAATTCAGATATTGTTGATACCTCCTAAATGTTTGTAGTTTACTATTATGGTAGTTGAGGTAAAGACAATAAACTTAGTTAATTGAATTCATACTCAAAGTCATACTCCGCTGAAAAACAATATAATACACATGTTGCGTTGACGAATCATAATGTTCATTTTTCATAATATTTGATTTTATTTCTATATTATCATAATTAAATAAATAGAAACAGTGTAACTACTTCCAGTCATTCATTTATTTACACAGTTATTTTTTTCAAAAAGAGTTAGTATGGGAATGGTATGTTCATACTTTGATGTAATGCACTAGCGATAATAAAGATTACATTCAATAAAGAATGTATTCTGTATCATAACATAAATCTAATCCGAAACTAGTTTTA